ATCTGCACATGCTCAGGGAGAGCACCAGGCCCAGGACCGCTGCAATCTGGGCCGACCTTAAAGCGCAGCTCGAGACGGCCAAAAGGAACACGTTCGCCAGCAAGCCGCCCAATGTCAGGACGCACACCATCGCCAGCAGGGCGAAGTAGTGCGCGGAGAAGCCAGAGAAGGCGACCAGACCTCGCGACAAGGCGAAGGAGTCCGTCGAATGGGCGCAGCGCGAGCTCGAGCGGACGGAGGCGGCGCATGCGAAACTCCTCGTGCAGCCGACCGAGATCAAGCAGGAACGCGCCAGTATGCAGCAAATACAGCCGGCAGCGCCCCCCCAGCGGGTTGGCCAGTTCATGGCCGATTGTGTCGTTGGCGGGCTGGGCCTCACGTCGGGCGAGCCCGCCAGGATTGTAGGCACGCAGTTGGAGAAGCCCACCCAACGGACAGACCTGTGTCTGCGGGGGATCAGGAGCACCCGGCGGCGGCCATCGGCGCCCACGTCACCGAACTGGTCGCGCGCAAGCGGGCTCGCACTGGGCCTGCTGCAGGGGATACAGTCGGGGCCCTGAAGAAGGAACGCTCTTCGTTGGGGAGGGGCTCGGTGTTCCTTGATTGTTGTACAGTTTGCCTCTGGTTCCCCTTAGGTTTTTGTATGGGAAATCGATGTTTGACTTATGGAAAAGAGGGGCCTCGTTCCTTATTTAGGGTTCCTTAGGTCAACGCCCCGACTGTACTGTTACTGCTCGGGGCGCCGATGTTATCCAAACCTGCTCTCGCGCCTGCTGCCGATCATGGCGGCGGCGGCGGCGGCGGAGCTGGCAGCGGTGACGTTCGTCTTGCCACGCGGGGGCCCTCCAAGTCGTCCTACGGGGAGCTGCAGAAGGTCATGACTGCCCACGAGCTACCAGACGACGACGAGGAGAAGGCGCGGGCCCGCGACACTGCGCTGGCCAAGAGCGGCTTCTCACGCGGTGGGCCGCCTGGTCACTTGTACGCGCCCATGGCGAATAGTTCCATCACCGCCACGAACGGCGCGTCCTGAGGTTCGATTGCGCCCAAACAGGAGACGGCGGCGAACGATATCCGCGACCACATCCGAGGGGATGCGCCACACAGAGAGGATTGAGGAGCACCACATCCGAGAGGATGCGAAGCTTGCGAACTATGTGTACGCGGGCATCTGCGCGCCTGCTGCGCCCAGCCGGGTCGCCGACGCGGGCTCTGTCGGCGGCGGCGCGGCGCTGGCCAAGGCGTCGATCATAGTTGCGGTTCCGCCGTTTGTCACCGCGCCCATCCGAATTCTCCGGAAAAAACACCGACGTGAATGGACTCCAGATGTCGTTCAACAAAGGCAAGAAGGTGGATTGAATCCTGGGCGAGTTCTTGAGGTCTCTCTTTTTTCCCGCGCATTTTTCGTAGACCTGGGCCTGGGCTGCGGCGTAAGAATCGCTAGGGGCGAAGGCCATTTTCGTAGACTTACAATTTGTCAACTCTAAGCAGGGGGGTGCGCCCATCCTGATCGAGGGCCGCCCAGTGGCCGCCCGCGCCCAATGGTGCGCGGCCGGCGGTCTGGTCCTGCCCCCGGCCTGCCTGCGCGACAGCGTCGGCGTGAACGAGCAGAATCAGGCCATCGATCTGGCCTTGATGTGGCACCTGGCGAAGCAGGCGGTGACTTCAACGCGCGCCCGTGAGCCACATTTCCGAGGACTGGCCCCCTAGCGTCGGCGCCCTCCCGGGCGGCCCCCCCCGGGCTGCCACCTGCAGGCCCAAGATCGAGAGCGCCCCGGCCCTCGACCACTCCTTCATCTCGGCCGGTCTGACCACCGGGGCCCACGAGCCGACGGCCGACGAGGAGCGCGCCGCGGCGCCGCGCCTTCCCGCGCGCCTCTCGGTCGCAGGGCAGGACGTCGACCCGAGCATGGCGCCAAGCAGGGCGCGATGGAGCACGAAGCGTCGCAGGCGCACCAGGACTTCTACAAGGCGGAGGACGAATGCCACGAGAAGATGGCGGCCTACATTACCTGGGCGACGCAGCGCACGCTCAGGGTCCAGAGGCAGGGGCCTGCCCATCGGTTCAGTCCGATCACGGAACCCGCCAAGATGCCCCCTGCACCGATCGTGCGCCATCAACTGGCGCGGCCGCGGTCCTGCCACGCCTTTTCTGCCGCTGCTGCTGCAGGTCGACGGCGACGCTGGCGGGGCCCGCCCGGGCGCAGCCCCTGCGGTCAGCCCGCGAGGAACCCGAGCCCTCGCAGCTGAAGGCGGGTGCGATCATCCCGCACGGGGGGGCGGAGGCGGACTCCGGCTCGACGGATGGCTCCTTTGCCCTGCAGGCACTCGGCGCGGCGCCGTGCCTCGAGGGCCCTTTGCGACCTCGAGCAGCCCATCATGACGAGGTGGGCCATGGGCGACTGCTGCGCGGAGGACGACCGCCATCTGCTTCGGAATGCGGGGCCACCGGTCACATGCGAGGCGTGCGCGCCGCCTGGTTGGGCGTTGGCACCTCGCCCCCACACCCTGCAGGCGCCGCGCCCTGGGCAGCCCCCCCCCGGCGGCACAAGAAGCAGCGGGCGGGCGGGCACTCAAAGACGGGTGCTTCTTCGCCGCGGAGAACGGCCAGCTGATCGAGTGGACCCGGCGGCGGCGGTGGCTCAGCGTGGAAACAAACCATTCATATGGACCGCAACGAAGTGTGGCCACTGGCTTTTCGGCCGTGTCGCAACGAGGTGTGGCCGCTGGCTTTTCGACAGAATCGCACGCAACGAAGTGTGAAGTGTGGCCACCTACTCTCCCCCTCGTCGTGCTGGACTTCGTCGCGAAGCTCCAGATCTGCTTCCTGGGCCTAGGGTCCTCCGCGCTCCGTTCGGCCGTCGGACGTAGCTGCGAGGCCGCCCTCCCGTGCTCACGTCCGGTCCGACGAAGATTCGGCCCCGATCGCTCCCCTTCCGTCGCTCGCGGGCCCTCAGCAGGTGCGCTGGGCTCCCGCGCGAGGCCGCACGTTACAGTCGCAGCCGGGCCGTGGGGCGCGCGGTCTTGGGGTCTCCATCCCATCTCCTCCCTGTGGGCGAAGAGCTTTCCTAGAACGCTTCCTTCGTGGAGCCTCCAGAAAAATCAGGGCCACTCCCCATCCCTGCTCCTGCCTTCTCTTCCATCCTCCTCCTTCTCCCTCCTCCTCCTCCTCCCTCCCTCGCTCCCCCCTCCCCCCATGAATCCGCAGCCTTCCACGTCTCCTTGAGCACGAGGGTCTGGAACTCCCGCGGGGTCGGATCGGTTCCGAGGAGCCCCGTTGGCATGAGGGCCTGGCCCGGCATCTCACTGACGGCCGCCCTGAAATTCCTGCGGCCTCCGGAGGCCGCCTCGCGGCCCCTTGGGCTGTCAAGAGAGCGGTTCGGGACGGGAAGCCACCCCCGGGGAGCGGGTCGAGAGCCCCTAATTATGGTTATGTCGGGCGTGTCCCCCTACAGGGGGATTTTTTCGACGAAAAATGAAAAAGACCCCAAAAATACCCCAAAAAGGTCAAAACATACACCAAACATAGTCCCCAGACTATTGTTGGATTATTTTTTTGTTCGTTTTGGTGTATTTCTTATGTTTCGTCGAAAGTCCCCCTGTAGGAGGACAGGCCCGACTTGACCCTATGGGCCCACGTCACGACCAGGTGGCGACGCCGGAGGGAGGGCCACCTCGAGAGAGCGCACGCGGGCGCCCGCTGGCGCGCGCACGGCCTGCGCCGGGCCGTGGGGCCTGGCGGGGCGCGGCGGCGGGCGCCTCGCCGTTGCTGGTATGGAGTCGTCGTCTGCCGCTCGCGGGGCTGGCTCCGGAAGGGGGGGGGGGGGCAGGTAAAACGACGCGAAGATCGGGACAGAATCGGATCGGGAGAACTCGAAATCTCTGAGAATCGGCGGGTTTGGAGGATGTATTGGGCGCCGCGGCCGCTCCAGAGCGTTCTGGAACGCTCTGAGAGCGCTCCGGAACGCTCTGGAGCGATTTATCCCGATCCTAGCTCTGTTTTAGCAGGGCCTGAGCTGGGCCGCGCAGAAGCTGCGGCCGAGCGCCACTGCGGAGGAGGAGGGCGAGGAGGAGGGCGACGACTGCGACGACGAGGGCGCGCGCGAGGGGAGACGGCTCTGCGACGACGAGGGCGTCCGCGAGGGAGGCGGCGAGGACGAGGAGGACCGCAGCTGCGGCGACGCGGAGGGGGGCGAGGGGGGCGATGACTGAGCAGCGTCGCCGGGTCCCTGCAATGCTCCACGCGGGGTCGGCCAGGAGAGATCTGGTCCGAGGTCTGGCACAGGCGGTTCCCGGAGGAGGAGGACGAGGAGGAGGAGGCGGAGGAGGAGGAGGAGGAGGAGGAGGAGGAGGAGGAGGATCGGCGGCGAGCGAGGAGGGAAATGAGAAGGGGCGGGCCTTCTCAGAAGGCTCGGACGTCCCCCAGCCTGCTGGTAAGTTTTCTGAGCCTTTCCCGAAGCCACTGAGAATTTCTCGGACGGCCCGAGGGCTTCTGAGAAGCCCCGCCGCCCTCCGAGAGGGCCTTCCTCTTCTCACTTCCCCCTCATCGCTCGCCGCCGACGTGCGGTTCCCAGCCGGTTCCCAGTCTGGATTCCACCCAATCCTGTAGGAGAGCGAGGAGGAGTAGGGCGAGTAGGAGGAGGAGAAGGAGGAGGAGTTGCATATATACCGGTTTCTCCATCCGAAGCTAGAGTTAGTTTTCGGAGGGAGGCCCCGACGAACCTCGAGTCCATTCTCTCTCTCTCTCTCTTTCTCTATCCCACTCTCTCTCTCTCTCTCTTTCCTCTATAAGCCGTGTAAGCCGCATCGACAGGGCGGAGACTTCGCGCGGATGATGCTCAATGAAGACCTGGGTGAGGCCCTGAGCGAGGCGCGCAGGGGGGCGAGCGTCCGTGTTTTTTTCTGAGTCTTGGCAGGGTCGGCAGGATGCTGCCCCTCCCGCGCCCTAAGCTTTTCCGCACGCCTCACATGACCTGCCCCCCAGCGCCTCCTCCTCCTCCTCCGCCCTCACTCTGTTCGTTCTTTTCGTGGCCACCTTCAGCATCATCATAATTACTTCCACATTCAACACCATAATCCAGCATCGATGTCGTCGTTATGGTCTTGACCATCTTCTGCAACATCAGCAACATCATCCTCCTCATCCTCATCGTCAGGATCATCATCAGCAGCAGCAGTATCGTCATCGCCACCATCATCAGCAGCATCATCAGCAGCATCATAATAATCAACATCATCAGTATCATCAGCATAGTCATCTTCATAGCCGTCACCCTCTTCATCTAAATCACCTTCAATTTCTCCTACATCACCATCATAAGCATCAATCATCAGCAGCATCTTTATCATCATCATCATCATCAGCAGCAGCATCATCATCATCACCAGCGGCATCACCATCATCATCTTCATGATCCTGCATTTCGCTTGACGCCTCAGGGCACCAGAAGGATCGCAGGCGGACCCCCCTGGCGGCGGCCAGAGGGGTCTCAATTTACACCGAGTCCCACGCACATCCTATTTGTGTGCGCCTCACCTCCTGAAAAGGAGGCACGGCCCCAGCCGTCACCCCTGCCACCACCACCCCCGAAAAGGGCAAGGGGCCTTCGGGGAGCGCATAGGGCTTCGCCTCCTCGCCATAAGCCGGACAAGTGACGTCCTGAATCTCACTCTGACCCCCCCCCCTTATACGCTGACAGGCGCCATCCACCACACGCCCACCCGCCACAGCAACGGCAGCAGGGCCCCGAAGATGTTGTCGAACACCGCGCCACCGAACGCAGGGGATGGCGAAGCAGAGGAGGAAGGGGAGCCCGACGGCGTCGGAGGTGGGCGGGGCGGCAGGCTGGCGCTCGGCGGCCACTCCGCCGCCCGCGCCGCCCTCCTCCTGCTGGCGCCGCTCGCGTCTCCGAGCGTGCCCACGCTGAGACTCCCCGAGCGCGCCCCACGGCTCGCAGAGTACCTGACCGCAAACGTCCGAAAAGCAAACGTCTGCCCACCACCACAGCCGAGCATCCAGAGGGGCGCGTGGGCATGGCGAGCTGCGGCATTGGCGAGCACCAGAAAAAGCGGGGCCTAGACATGGGGGCAGAGAGGGGGGAGGAGGAACAGGTCTGTCCAGTGGATCGTGAATCCCCCGAGGCGTGAGGATCGGAAGAACTCGTGACCTCGACGCCTGGGGACTGGGAAGTGCTCCTCCTCCTCCTCCTCCCTTTCCTCCTCCTCCTCCTCCTCCTCCTCCTCCTCCTCCTCCTCCTCCACCTTCTCCTCGTCATCTTCATCCTCCTCCTCCTCCTGAGAGTAGTGGAACGCGCTTGTCTGGAGACGGAGGGCAAGGGGGCTGCGGGTGACTTCCGAGGAGCGCGGGCACGGCGTCCCCTACAGGCTCCGCTTCGATCCCATCGATCCGCTTCGAGCTCGAGCCTGGGCCATCCGATCCGATGCGATTCCGATAGTTCGGAGATCCGACCCAGACATCATGATCGCGTAGTTAAAACATCGGGACGGGAGGTTTTTGGCCATTTTCGGCCTCGGGAGGCTCTCGCCAGGCCTCGGGACCGTCAAAAAACGATTCAGGATGCAAAACCGGTCCCGGGGAAGGGGTCGGGACTTCCAGGGGCCCCGCATTGAAAAAAGAAGGACGTCGCATGTCTGGAGATGCGGCCCGATGCTTGCATGGCGCTGTGGTGCCCCTGGGCGAGGCCGATCCGGTTCGACTCCGAGTCGGTGCCGATGCAGCCCGATGCGACGCACGTTCCGATTCGATCCGATCTCCCGATGCGATTCTGCATGATCTCTTGGCATCGCTCGGACGTGTGCATGTTTCCTTCGGCGAAGACCATCGAGGAGCATCCTTGATCATTTGGCGAAAAAACCACGCACGAAACCGAAAAAAACACAGGGAATGGACGTCCGAGCGATGGCCATGAGCTTGCACCCAGATTCCTCGGGCTCGCAGTGCCCCGATGGGCCCGAAACGCTCCGTCCTGCCAGCAGCCGTCGTGGGCCGGGCTTCTGGGCGGGCCTCGGGGAGCCGCTGGCCTGCCTCCTGGTCTGGTCGGTGTGGTGACCTCGGGAGCGTCCAAGAAGGGGGGTGATGACCGGGGGGACGTCATGGCGGAGCCATGAGATCTTCCCAGACCTCAGCGCCGAGTGGTGAGTCGGTGGGGATTCAGGGCCACTGCACGGTTTTGAGGCTCGGGCCGTTCTCCGAGGGCGTCTCGGGCGACTGGGGCCTCCGAGGTCCCGAAAGCGTGCGGTGACGGACTGCGCGGTGAGGTCACCAGGTGGTTGGGGATTCCGAGGTCACCAGGCGGTCCGTCACCACATGTTTTCTGCGGCCCCGAAATCGAGACCCCCCGCCCTGTCGGCGGGGGCCCGTCGCAGCACAGTCGGCCTGCGTGAAAGTGAAAGCCAGGGGAGCCGGAACCGATCTGCTCCTGTCGAGCCGGCCGAAGGCCAGAGCGACAGCAACAACGCAGCGCAACCGATTAGGCTCGGTGGCGGCTGAGGCTGCCAGCGGACAGGCGGCATGGGAGATGTGCAGCGGAACTTACGCGAGCACAGACGCCACCGGTGGGGAGCCAGGTGATCTGCAGGCCGCAGAGTAGTGCTGGTGGGCTATGTCTTGCTGTGCTGTTGCACTTGCCATAATGAGATGTGCTGCTGCCTGGTTTTGGTATTTGGCCTGCAGATTACTCTCAGCCTGTTGTAGTCGTGGTGCTGTGTGTACTGCTAATTTAATCGCTTCGCTCATTCCGCTGGCCCATAATGTCGCACCGTGGTCGCCTGTCCGAGTGGTCGTTTGCAGTGTGGAGCTGCGGCGTCGGGAGCTGTGTATTCTTGGGGCCCTCTTGGGCCGTCCTGGAGGCCTCTGGGGCCGTCTTGGAGCCGTCTTGGGCCGTCTTGGGGCCCTCTTGGGGGCCTCTTGGCCCCTCTTGGGGCGATCTTGGAGGCCTCTTGAGCCGTTTAGGGGCGTCGGGGAACCGAAAAGGTTAAAACGCCCAAATATGTCCAACACCAAAGGAAAAGCACAGGTTTTTGCCTCTTGGGGCCCTCTTGGGGGCATCTTGGAGGCTTGTTGGGCCATCTTGGAGACGTCTTTGGCCGTCCGGAGGCCATCTTGGGCGTCGTGGAGCGATCTTCGGGCGTCTCGGACCTCTCTTGGACCGTGTTGGGGTCGTTCTTGGGGCCCTCTTGGGCCGTCTTGGAGGCCTCTGGGGCCGTCTTGGGGCCCTTTTGAGGGCCTCTTGGGCCCTCAAAAGGGCGATCTTGGAGGCCTCTTGAGCCGTTTAGGGGCGTCGGGGAACCGAAAAGGTTGAAACGCCCAAATATGTCCAAAACCTAATAAAAAAGCACAGATTTTTGCCTCTTGGGAGTGCTCCCGAAGGTCTCTTGGGGCATCTTGGAGGCTTGTTGGGTCATCTTGGAGACGTCTTGGGCCGTCTGGAGGCCATCTTGGGCGCCGTGGAGCGATCTTCGGGCGTCTCGGACCTCTCTTGGATTGTGTTGGGGGCCTCTTGGGGCCCTCTTGGGGCGATCCTGGAGGATCTGGGGGAGTGTCCCGGGCTCCGCCCGGGCTCCGCCCGGGGTACTTTTGATCCAGGGACCCCCAGGGGCCGCCCCGCGCGCGCGATTTAGAAATACTGTTTACCAGTTACCGGAGATCTTAGCACGCCTCTGGCCCGTTGGGCCGGCGAATTGTGCTGTCTTGACCTCTTTGTCGAAGACTTTCTGGGCTTGCTCGCGCTGTAAAATGTAGGAGGCGTAGTTTTCGTCGCGGTTCTCGTGCTGGAGTGCGTATGGTTTGTTGTGTTTCTTGGGCTAGCCCGTGTTCCAGGGAGTGCATTTTGCCGTTTGCAATCAGTTGGCATGATCTTGATTGTTGTGTTTGTTCGTCTTGGTGCAGCCGGTAGTGTTGGTGTGCTTGCTGTGTCGAGTGTTGCATGCTTTCTTCTGTGACTCTTCCCGCTTGTCGTAATTTCGTGTGCGATGTGTCGTTGTTGTTCTCCGCGTAGTCTTCGTTGTTCCCGCAATTCTTGTCGGAGTGCTGTGATGCTAGTTGCCGCTTTTGCGTATGAGTCAATGTGTGTTTGGTGAGCTGTGGCGTAGTGTCGTTGTTTGCCTGGAGGCTCTTGAGTAGTGTGCGGTGTTGCATAACTTGCTCCGAAAGGCTCCCTAAGTGGTGTTGTGTTTTTTCGTTGTGTAGGGTGGTCTTGTCTCGTTCGCGTAGTGCTGCTTCTTCTTGTCGTAGTGATGTTTCCGTTCTTGCCGGTAGCCGTAGTTCAGTTTATCGGAGTGAATATTTGTGTTTTTTGCCACATAGTAGTTGATGGATAGGTGGTCGTTGGCTTCGTGCAGTTGTTTCATGGTGTCTTCTGCCGTCCGTAGTCGTGAAATTGCGCCGCCTTCATGAGTCGTCGTCTTGTCTTGTTAGGCTGCTCTGAGCTTTCCAATTGTCCAATTGTTCTCTGAGCTTGTCGTAGGCTGCTTGTTGTAGCGTCGTCAGTCGTTGCGTCTCGTGGTGTCGTTGCGTCTCGTGGTCTTGTCCCGTATCTTGCATGGTGGCATTGGTCGTCTTGAGTGGGTCAAGTGGTGGACGCTCCACTGGGTACAGTCGGTGGTGCTAAGTCGTCCCCGGTTTTCCCTGGCTGGCGCCTCGGTAAAACAAGACATCGTCATAAAGTGTAGAATTGTCGTCACCAATATTTCAAAATTTTCCCTGTGCGCGGTAGCGTCAGCAAGTTTATGTTGACTGGGGTCCTGCTGTGGGATCGTGGAGTTGCGAGGTCGTGGGGTCGCGTGGTCCTGGGGTTCCTGGGCCCTGGGGTCCTTAAGTCCCTGGGTCGCTTGGGCGTGGAGTTGAGGAGTCGTGGGATCGCAGGGTCGTGCAGTTGTGGGGTCGTGGGGTCGCGGGGTCGTGGGGTTGTGGGGTCGTGGGGTAGTGGGGTCGCGGGGTCGAGGGGTCGGGGGGTCGTAGGGTCGTGGGGTTTTTCGGTCGTGGAGTCGTGGGGGCGGGGTCGAGGGGGGTCGGGGTCGTAGGGTCGTGGGGTTTTCGGTCGTGGAGTCGTGGGGTCGGGTGGGGTCTGGGGTGGGGTTCGCAACTGGGTCGTGTGGGTCGGGGTTTGTGGGGTCGTGGGGTCGTAGGGGAGGGTGGGGTTGTGGGAGAGGAGGAGTACGAGGAGAGAAGGAGGCAGAGAGGGGAGGAGGAGGAGGAGGAGGAGGAGGAGAAGGAGGAGAGGAGGAAGGAGGAGGGAGGAGGAGAGATGGAGGAGGATTTGGGGAGGAGGAGGAGAGGCGGAGGAGGAGCGAGGAAGGAGGAGGAGTGGGCGAGGGCCCGGGGATGAGGAGAGGAGGAGGGGGAGGAGGGGAGGAGGAGGAGGATGAGGAGGAGGAGGCGGAGGTGGAGGAGGAGGAAAGGGAGGGAGAATGAATGGGGGGGCGGAGGAGGAGGAGAGGGAGGAGGAGGGGGAGGAGGAGGAGAAGGAGGAGGAGGAGGAGCAGGAGCAAGAATAAGAAGAAGAGGACGAGGAGGAGCTTGAGGAGGAGGGAGAGGAGGAGGACGAGGACGAGGATGAAGAGGAGAAGGAGGAGGAGGAGGAGGAGGGAGCCGCCAGCCGTGCGGTTTTCGCAATTTCACACATTTGCGGCATGCTGATTTGTTCTGGAATTTCTCTTTCCGTGTGCAGATACACAGAACGTCCACTTGGGACAGCGACAACGACTTAATACATTGTCAGCAATCATTTGTGCCGGCACACGGAACGTCTACAGGGGACGGGCGGAGACGATTTAGCACCACCGACTGTAGTTTTGCTAAGTTGTATGTTCTTCGCTCGTGAGTCGGGACTGGGCGTGTGCGTGCTGTCCCTCATCCTTGTCCACAGCCTCCTCCCTGCCCTCCTTGTCCTCACCCTCGTCCTCTTCCTTCTCCTCATCCCTCTCGTCTTCTTCCTCCTCCTCGTTCTCTGCCTCCTCCTCCTCCTCCTCCTTGTCCTCCTCCCCCTCCTCCTCCTCCTCCTCCTCCTTCTCCTCCTCCTCCTCCTCCCCCTCCTCCTCCTCCTCATCCTCCTCATCATCATCCCTCTCCTGCGTGTCGTTGTCCTTTCTCTCTCACGATCCTCCTCGTCCCCGTCTTCTTGTCACATGTGCGGTCGGTCCCTGTGCTCGCCTCTGCCCACACCATCGTCGTCTTCACACAATTTCCAGCGGATGCCACGGTGCCCAGGTGCTCACGGCGGAGGACGCGGAGGCGGGCACGCTCGAACAACTGTCCGATGACCGGCCGCGGCTGTCCTACCCTCTGGCGGCACGAAGGAGGAGGAGGAGGAGGAGGAGGAGGAGGAGGAGAGCAGGAGGAGGAGGAGGAGGAGGAAAAAGAGGAGGGAGGAAGAAGAGGAGGGAGGAGGAGGAGGAGGAAGAGGAGGAGGAAGAGTACATATATACAACAGCACCCCGTGCTGGAGACTCCTCTGGCGCTACTGTTTCTACGCTTTTCGATCCGAACCCGCTTGCTTCACAAGAACACACCAATAACAACACGACGGGATATCCCCTTCAGGGGGGATGGGAGTGTGCGGCTTTGCCGGGCCTTTGGGCTGTGGGGGAACGGTTCAGGATGCAAAGCCGGTCCTGGGAGAAGGGTCTAGACCTTGTGGGGCCGACGTTGCTAAAAAAACGACGTTGGGGGCTTTGAGACGATCGAGGGGCAATCCGATTGACGCTTCTGTTCCCAACCATGTTGCGTCATTCACTGGCTCACTCACGCCTGCGTCTGCTCCCCCTCCTCCCTCCTCCCCTCCCTGCCTCTGCCATCAGATTTTGTCTGTTTCGGTACACCCCTCCCGCGTCCCGGTATGCTTGACCATGCCGATACTGGCGCATACCTCAGACGTAAGAGAAGGCCCACATGGCAGGGCTTGCATGCTTTACTATGCCCATTCTGGCACACGCCCCATAGGAGCTCCGCATAAGGCCCACATGGCAGGGCTCGTATGCCTGACCGCGCTCATTCTGACACACTTCTCTCACGTTTCGTGGCCCCCCCAGGAGCTCCACAGACGTCACACTGCAGGGCTCGTATGCCTGACCATGCCCAGTCTGGCACACACGCACACACACACACAATGCCAATTATGGCACACCCCTCACACATTTCGTGGCCCCATAGGAGCTCCACGAGAAGCCTCAGCGACAGGGCTCGTACCCCTGCCACGTTTTCCAGGCACCATCGGGAGCTCCACCCGAGGCCCCAGTGGGTGCATCCACATGCGCCCCGCGCTCACGCCCCTTTCGCTTGCATTTGCCACGTTTCTCAGGCCCTCATCGGGAGCTCAACCTAAGGCCCGAGTGGGTGCGTCCACAGGTGCCTCCCACCCGTTGTGCTTGCTCCCGCCACGTTTTCCAGTCCTCATCGGGAGCTGAGGCCCCGCCACGATTTCCAGGCCCCATCGGGAGGTCCATATGCGCCCCCCGCCCGTTTCGATCGCCCTTGCCACGTTTATCAGGCCCCGAAGGGAGCTCCAGTGGCGGTGACTGCATGAGCCACCACCGGGGGCTCCACTTACGACCCCCGTAGGGAGCTCCACTTCTGTCCCCCCCTTTCGATTGCCCCCTCCAGACGTCCGTCGTGTTTCTTGTTCGCAGCGTGACTCCCTAGAGGTATGAACCCCTTCCCCAAGACTGGTTTCGCATCCCAGGTATTCTGTTTGACGGTCCTGGGGCCCGGTGAGGGCCTCGGGAGGCCGAGAGTCACCGAAAGTGTGCAGTCGTGATCTTCTCACGGCGCGAGAATGTCAGGGTTCGTCTGCTTCGCCCCCCCTTCCTGGATCTGTCGTACCAGATTGCTTCGATCGCGACCGATCCCAGAGTCGGTCGCGACAGATTTTGAACCGAGTCGGTCGCGACCGATCCCAGAATCTGAAGCAAGATCAGCAGCGACCGACCTCGTGGGCCTCGACCAGACGTGTCTGGCACCTGGTGCTCCGGGCGGGGGGGCGGCGGGGGGGCCCTCCGGAGAGAGCGGCGGGCCGGCCGGCCTCGGGAGTGCTGCCGCCCTCTCCATGACAGTCAAGACGCGAAAACGCGCTGTGAGGGTGCCGCTCACGGTCGGCGTCCTGGGGGGGCCCACGCGCGCGTCGGCGGGGGGCGCTTTTCGCGGGGCCCCGCGCGGGCGCGGGGGCGGCAGAAGGAGCCGCTGCGAGAGGTGAGGGAGAGGACGGCGGCGAGGAGAGCGCGGAGCAGGAGGAGGTCGAGGAGCAAGAGGGCCCGTCTCCCGGTGCCGCCGACGTGAGAGCTCGCTCACACTGGGGGGCACTGGGGCTCGCTCTGGAGATGTGCTGTGTGTCATCGAGGCTCTCGCAAGATTGCCAAGCCGATCAGAGATCCGTGCCCTAGCGCGCCTCGCCTGGATCAGGGTGTGCTCCTCCGCCTGGGACACAGAGTGCAAGCGTTCCCCTGCTCCAGCAAGTCACGCCCGTTGTTGCGCATATCGTGCAACCTTACAGCTGCGGAGGTCAGGTCATTAGTCTGGGTCGTAACTGTGGACCCCCGTCGGTGACGGATGTGAAGAACATGCACCGTCTCCGTAAAGGCATACATCCCGACAGAAATGGGGTGACTGTTGACATTGATGGATTCATCCTGCTGCTCTAATATGCAGGTGAATTGTTGTGCACCCCAGTGCGCTCCTGGCTGAGGTTGCTCAGTTGCTCATGACTCCTTCTTTCGAGAGCGTGCGCGCTGCCGCAAACAAAAGCAGGACAGGGGAGGAGAAGAACGACGCCGACGACGAGCAGGGACGTGAGCCCCGGCCCCGCCGCCGGCCAGGAGAGTGATTCACTGACGCCGCACCGCCGACCCCTTGGGGCGGCAGCAAGAGTGAAAAGCGGAGTTTGCGGAACGCGCGCGATCTCTGGGGAGAATCTTGGGGCTTCAGCTTCTTGGGATTCCGTCGGGGGGCGGTTGGCGGATTGCGGCTCTGCTCCTGGGCTCCTCTAGGCTCTCCTGGCCCAGCCCCGCCTTCCGCCTCGAGGAGAGCGACTTCCGGCTCGAGTACAACTTCGAGGAGATCCAGGTCGCCGTCGGCGAGCAGGCGCGCCCCCGAGCTCTCCTTTGCGCTGGCGCCTGCGCGCAGCTGCTCCCCTGCGCGCCGTCGCCCTCCGCGAGAGGCCCCTGCAGGCGCGTCGGTCGTCGAGGGGCCTCCCCGGAGAAAGACTCCGTTCGCCATGGAGGAAATTTCTCCTCGTCTCACCTCCTCCTCCTCCTGCTCCTGCTTTTCCTCCTCATCCTCCACTTCTCCCCTCCGCCTCCTCCTCCTCCTCCTCTTCTCCCCTCCTTCTCCTCCTCCTCATCCTCCTCCTCCTCGTCCTCCTCCTCCTCGTCCTCTCCTCCTCCTCCTCGTCCTCCCTCCTCCTCCTCCCTCCTCCTCCTCCTCCTCCTCCTCCTCCTCCTCCTCCTCCTCTCCTCCTCCTCCTCCTCCACAATTACTCAATATGAATACTACTCTCCCTCTTCCCCTGATGGCGTGCTGGGAGTGGCCGACCCCCCCCCGCGTACTGTTTTTTACACACAGGATTCCCGGGAGTTGGGTTTTCGCCTGCGTTTTTTTCAAAATGCTGCTCTCGCTGAGGCGCCGGCCTCATTTCTGCTCCCGAATCGTTCCGAATCGTGCTCCCGCTGCAGCGTGGGCCTCATTTTCGGATCGGTGTTTGGCCTCCGTCGTTCAGGATGGCGTTCTCGCCCCAGCGCGGGCCTCTTTCTCGCGCGCCCATCCGCCCGCCACCACCGCGCCGCACCACCACCACCACCACCACCACCACCACCACCACCACCACCACCACCACCAGCACCAGCACCACCACCCACCACCACCACCACCACAACCGCGCACACACGCACGCACGCACGCGCCCACCACCCACTACGCACGCGCGCGCGGAGCCACAGGTCCGCTACGACACGCGTCTGCGGATAGAGAAAATCAGCGCCAGAGTAAGGGATGGGAGGGAGGGGTAGGACGTCAGATATGACGCGAGCGCACCTAGCTTGTCCTCTTCCCCCTCCCCCCCTCCTCCTCCTCCGCCTCCTCCTCCTTCTCCGCCTCCTCCTCCTCCTCCTCCTTCTCCTCCTCCTCCTCCTCCTCCTCCTCCTCTGACCCCCTTCCATTCCTTTTCCGTATGAATACATTCTCCCTGTCGCACCCCGAGGCCAGTTTTTAGGGCGGGCCGGGCGTTACGTCTGAGATTTCTCACCATGTATGACCCTGAAGCTTAAACATTACAGCACTTTCACAGACGGAGGGCGGGTGGCTTTCAAAATGAGGTTTTCGCTTTAGCGCCTCGCACATCCTTATTGAACATGTGCAATCGTTTCACGGATTGAGGGCGATTGATGTTCAACATGTGGTTCTCGCTTTAGCGCCGCGCACATTCAGTGCAAAAGTCTGCAAGAGCTTCACGGATTGAGGGCGGCTCCTTTTCAAAATGGTGTTCTCGCCTTAGCGCCGCGCACATTTGTTTTCAACATTTGCAAGAACACGGGTTCTCATGTTCAGCGTACCTGAAATTGCGTTTTGGAAGGATTCGGGATTTTGAGGGTGCAACAGTTACAGTGATTCACGGTGTTGAAGTCCGTCCCAGGAACTTCGTTATGGCACGATTCAGAATCGTCAAGACGCAACACTCAAGTCGATCCGCGGCGTCGGAATCCCGAGAACATTGTTTGGGCATGCTTCAGGGTATTCAAAGGATGTCTTCCAACGAGCGGTGAAATGACCCGTTGTAGGGGCCTACGAAGAGGGAGCTCGGAGGGAGGGATTATTCCAACATATTTGATGGCTCTTGGGTTTACACTGGTCCTCCTCCTCGCGTGCTTGCGGCAACTGGGAGGATCCTGCGTATTCCATCGGCTCCGCTGGTATGCAGTATTCGATTGGTTGGCTAGCTGAGGGAATTCAGTTTCGCGCTCATCCCTTCTGGTGTATTGGCTGAGCCTGGCCCAGGCCCACGTGGCAAGCAAGGCGCCCTCCTTTATATTGGTCTGGGATGTTTATTATTTTTTGTTCCTGCGAGTGGTCTGGTTGCGAGGCCGTCTGCGGTGGATGCGATCTCAGTTTGGTGCCTTTCGTCGCATTTCTGCGCGTTGGGAGTTCGAGGTTGCCCGATGACCAGTGGGATGTACTTGTTCCTCTGTGCTTTCCATTGTAGTGGGCCGTATCGAGCAGACTCCGTTTCGGCTGAGCCGCCATCTCCTTTTCAATGGAACCGTTCAATGCATACGGTGGTCTTTTTTGTATTTGTTGCTGTCATGGTGCCTCGCTCTCTTTTCCGCTTTCCCATCACGGTGTGTGTCGCGAAGTTCGTCTACTCCTCGTTCGGCATCCCTCGGGTGTCTTGGCTGAGCCTGGCCAGCGCAAGGCAGACGTATTCTGTTTTGTTGCAGTTTCAGTTTCTGTATTGGCTGAGCCTGGCCCGCGCAAAGCAGACGTATTGGGGGTGTCTGGAGTTGTGTGCAATAATGGTGAAGAGTATTCCGAGGGACCTGAGCATTTTTACTTCGTTGGACTGTTGTGCAATAGTGGTGAAGGGGTATTTGAGGAACTGGTGTATCTTTCTTATTCTTCGTGCTCGTCGGCATCGCGGTGGTGGCATTGGGGGCGTGGTGGTTCCAGGACAGTTTCTTTTTCTTGCTCACTTCAGCCGGCCGTGTACGGGTTGAAGTGCGTTTCCCTCTTGTTCGTCGCCTACTTCGACAAGTTCCGGGGGGGGGCGTGTGTGGTTGAGCCCCGTTAAGTAACCGACATGGTCGCAATACCCGTAACTCCTCATCCGCCCCCTCACCCTCCTACAGTCGGGGCCCTGAAGAAGGAACCCTTTTGGTTGGGAAAGGGCTCCGCGTTCCTTGATTGTTTCACAGCTTGCCTCAGGTTGTCCTTAGGTGTTCGATAGGAAATCGAAGTTTAACTTATGGAAAAACGGGGCTTCGTTCCTTATGTATTTAGGGTTCCTTAGGTCAACGCCCCGACTGTACTCCCTCCTCCCTCGCCGCTTCTCCTCCCGCCTCCCTCCGCCTGAAGTGGAGCGCAGCGGCTCCGGAGAGCGCACGGAGGAAACTTCGCAGTCGGCCGTCGAAGCTGCTCCGTCCGCCCAGGAGGATCGTTCGGTCGCCACGCGCTGCGAGCACTGCCAACGGGCGTCGTCGGCGTGCTCCTCGTCGCTGGGGATCTGGCGCTGCCCCTCGGCAGAGAGGCTGCGGGATTTCGGGGGGGGGCGTCACCGCTGGGCTCCCCCATTGATCCCCCGTCGTGCCTCCCTGCTCCTGCTCCCTTCCATGTTCCTCCCCTGCCTCCTGCCTCCCCTGCCTCCTGCCTCCATGGCCCTCGTGCCTCCCTCCACGCCCCTCTTGCCGTGTCCCTCCATCGGGCTCCCTCCACGTCCCGCTTGCCTCCCCCGCCTCACGCCTCCTCTACGGTCGGGGGCCGTTGGAGTTAGCGTGTCGAACCGCCGCGTCCTGGCCCGCCACGCTTCGGCGCGCGACGCGCTATCCACTTCCCAGTCCCCAGGCTGCAACGCTTAAGTCGGGCATGTCCCTCTGCAGGAGGAAGGGTCAAAATAGTATAAAAATAGTCGGGACGTTTTCCCGCTATGGTTTGACAATGTTTGTTAATGCTTCGTCCAAAAATCCCCTGTAGGAGGACATGCCCTCGCGGATACGAGGCGCTTTTGTCGCAGATGCCCCGCGCGCAGCGTACCCGTGCGACCGCGTGTCTGCGGGATCGCGACCCGGAATCCAGACCGCGAGGGCGTGGACATGGATACGTTCGCCGCTCGTGAGAAATGGGTCCTGGGGGAAGTGTGGAGCGTTTCTCCGAAGGGTTTAGGCGACCCGTCCACCTCCTCTCCCCTCCTCTCTCCTCCTCATCCCACTCCTCCTCCTCCTCCTCCTCCTCCTCCTCCTCCTCCTCCTCCTCCTCCTCCTCCTCCTCTCCTCCTCCTCCTCCTCCTCCTCCTCCTCCTCCTCCTCCTCCTCCTCCTCCTCCTCCTCCTCCTCCTCCTCCTCCTCCTCCTCCTCCTCCTCCTCCTCCTCCCCTCCTCCTCCTCCTCCTCCTCCTCCTCTCCCCCTCCCCCATCCCCTCCTCCCCCTCCCCCTCCTCCTCCTCCCCTCCTCGGGTCGCCGACGGCCCCGGGAGAAACCGTCCAGGGGAAGCGCGCGTCCTCAAGTTGTTCGCTGTCTTCAGGCTCTCGGGGCTCTCCACGGGCCCTGGGACCGTCAAGAGGCGGCTTAGGGTAAGAGAAAAAATGTCCTGGGGAAGGCCGCCGGTGAATCTGCCGTGCAGACGCGCTGGGCATCGAGAACAACCGCTTGCGTGGCGATGTTCGGAGCTGAGGCACGAGAATACAGTCGGGTCGCTGAAGAAGGAACCCTTTCCGTTGGGAAGGGGCTACGTGTTCCTTGAGTGTTTCACAGCTTGCCTCAGGTGTTCCTTATGTTTTCGATGGGAAATCGAAGTTCAACTTATGGAAAAAAAGGGCCTCGTTCCTTATTTAGGGTTCCTTAGTTCAACGCCCCGACTGTACGTGGCCCGAGATTGGGCCACGTTCGCAGGGCAGCCCTGAGACGCTGCCCCGGATGTGCACGTGTTCCTTTCTCTGCACAGGTCGAGGCGTCGCGTGTTGGCATTCCTGTCTCTGCAGAGGTCAAGGTGTCGCGTGTTGGCTCATCTACTGTGATGCTTGCCTGGCGAATGTGGTTTGGCACCAGTACCGCGATCAGTGGAAGAATCAAGTGCGCCGATCATCGAAAGGCCTCCCCGTCTTCGTCTTGGCCCAGCGTTTCTTTGGCGGGTCTGCAGGGAGCTGGCCCGCTGCCTGTAAATCTGGGCACGCATGGGGTCGTACGCGCAACGCTGGCGCAGCGTTGGCTGATCGGGGCCCCCCAGACTGGCATCGATCGGCACTGTCGCTGTCATCTTGGCGGCGGTCGCGGCCAGAGGCGAGCCCAGGTAACATGTCCATCCAGTACATCCCGTTCTCCTCGCTGAGATCAGCGTTTCGGATTTGGCCATTGAATATGTGACAGGGCTGTTCGATAGAGCGTGGGCACACGCGACAGAGATGTGAACTGCATATGCCTTCGTATCAGCCCGTGCAGGTGGCGCAGTACACAAGAACAAAGTGTGAAGCTCTAAGCACGGATTCCTTTCTCCTCCTCCTCCTCCTCCTCCTCCTCCTCCTCCTCCTCCTCCTCTTGCTTCTCCTTCTCATCCTCTTTCTCCTCCTCTCTCCTCTCTCCTTTCTCCTCCTCCTCCTCCTCCTCTTTCCTCTGACCCGCTCCTCGATGTAGGCACGAGATCTCGATGAGGACGAATGGCTAGAGGACAAGGAGATGAGCGTCGTGAAGACCGTAGGCGTGCCGATGAGGCGCGCGGAAGCTTGGCGGGCAGTTCGCCCTCCTCTTTCTTCGTCGTGTCCCCTCCACTTCCTCATCCTGCGCCTCCTGCTCCTGCTGCTGCTCGTTCTCCTCTTTGTTCTGTGTTCCCTCTCTCGTCGTCGAATGCGTGTCTCTCCCCGTCTTGCTCACGCTGTTGGTGGTGTTGTTTCCGCCGCTGCTGCTTCCGCTGCCTTTCCCTCACAGGCCCAATCCTCGTCCTCCGCCTGCCCCTCGTCCGAGCTCATGTTGGTTGATTGTTTCTCGCCTTCCTCCGCCTCCTCCCCTCGACCCCCTGTTTGTTCAGAAAGGTGCCTCTCATTCGTCATGCTGGTTCCCCCCCCGTCGATTCCAGCTTCTGTTCGTGACCCTCCTAATGCAATGGCGTCGATGGCTCCCTCTCGCCCGTGCATAGTTTGTGTTCTTCCTCTACGTGGAGTGATCTTGCCCGTTTTGAGTGGTACGCTTTGAGACACCACACCTTTCCAAAATTTCCCAGAATCGCTCCCGATGCACACGCTGCATCCGAAGCTCTACTGAAAGCCGCCAACGGCAAAGACCAAAGTTTACTTGGCGACGAGCCCAACCATATTCAGCTTCGTGTAACGCAGGGCGCAGACCTCTCTTCGCACACTGCGCGCCGCGGGGCAGCACGGCTAAGGGGTTGCAGAGCAGGCACGCACGAGCGTTGTGAGCTCCTTGGGGGGGGACACGATCCGCGTGATGGGCGTGCCGAATCGTTCGTGGGCACGCATGCGCACCCACTCGTTGGGGCCCTAAATGGAGCTCCTTGTGGGGAGGGATACCATGCGAACCCTGCCACGAGGGCCGTGGGTGGAGATGTCTATGAGGCCACGATTCTCGTCAGGGGTGCGCCAAATGGGGAAGGACAGGCATGCGAACATTGCCACTGGGGCCGAAGGTGGAGCTCCCTATGGGGGCCGCAGGAGCTCCTCATGGCGGCTTCCGCCATTGGAGCCTGCTATGGGGCCCGAAAAACGTGGCAGGGGCGAGCGAAATCGGCGGGGGGCGCACGCGTGCGCACCCATTGGGGTGTTGGGTGGGGCTCCTTGTGGGGCCTGAAGAACGTGGCAGAGTAGCGAAATGGGCAGGGGCTTCGCGTGGACGCACCCATTGGGGTCCCAGGCGGAGCTGAGCCCGGCATACGGGCCTTGGCATGTGGGCCGTCCGTGGAGTTCCGATGGGGCCACGAAACGTGTGAGGGGTGTGCCAGAATGGGCGTGGTCAGACATACGAACCTTACCAGATGGGCCTCATGTGGAGGGCCTTATTCGGAGCCCCTACGGGGCCACGAAGCGTATGAGGAGGGTGCCAGAATAGGCGTGGTCAGGCATACGAGCCGTACCATGCGGGCTGCTTGTGGAGCTCCCATGGAGCCACGACACGTCAGAATGGGCGTGGTCAGGCAGACGGACCTTGTCAGTTGGGCATGCTGTGGAGCCCATCTGTGGCCATGAAACGTGGGAATGGTGTGCCTGAGTGGTTGTGATCAGGCATGAAGTGTTGCAAGTGGGACCTTATGTGGAGATCCCATGTTGCCACGGAGCGATTGAGTGGTGTGCTGAAGCAGAGACGTGCAGAGGGCAGAGGCATGGAGGGGAAGATGGAGCAAGGAGGAGGAATGAAGAAAAGAGTGACGCGGGGCTGCGTATTGAAAAACGAGGACCCAACACGACGGGATGGCTGGAGAAATATCAAGCATTGCAACGACAGTATTACGAACCCAAAACGAGTGGTTGTGGTCATGGCCGTTGGCGCTTTGACACAACAACCTCCCTGAATATCCCCAAATGGCTCCCGACTCCCATGCGCAATCCTCAGCTCAAATTGAAGCACCAGCATGACATGCAAAGCATAGATTGCAGCATAAACGCTAGTGCCAATCAAATGGCAAAGCAATTATCAGTAACTGCACTGAGTCGCATCGTGGCCACTGGCGCTTTGACACCAACCTCGCCCTGAAACTCCCCGAACCACTCCCGAAGCACACGCGGAATCCGAGGCTCAAGTTGAGACGGTCAAACGCAGTGCGAAGCCGAAGAGGTTACATATGGTGCTCAAAATCTTCGGCTTCAGCCAACGGAGCTTGCGACAGCCTCGGCAACGGCGTAGGGCAGCAGCCACGGTGGCGCCGAGGGACGGCGACGTCGGCGGCGGCGGCGGTGGCGGCGGCCTGGAGCATGGGAGGCGCCGGGGCGGGCCCAAGAACTTGGTTGGCATCGCTCGGACGTGTGCATTTCCCTCGGCAGGGACCATCGAGGAGCAGATTATATCATGACATTCTGGAAAAAACCCAAGCAGTGGATAGTCCGAAAGAGAGAGAGAGAGAGAGAGGGAGAGAGAGAGAGAGGAATGATAGAGAGAGAGAGAGAGAAAGTTCATAACACGGAGAAGCCGGAGTAACACGAAAGAGTGATATTGATATAAAGAAACGCCGAGAGAGAGAGAGAGAACACAACAACAAAAAAGAGGAAGAGACAGAGCACCAAGCGACGGCACTGATATAGAAATTGGCCAAGAGATAGAGAGAGGGGGGCGCCCACCGACAGCCGCCCACCGAGAGCCACCCATCGAAATCGGCCGGCTGCTTTCGCCAATCTCGTCTTGAGGGGGCGCACACCGAACGCCGCGGACCGAGAGCCGCCCACCGAAATCGGCCAGCTACTTTCGCAAATCTCTCCTATGTCCGCCAGGACCCATTTCCGTGCAACACACTGATCGGAGAATCGAGCGAAAAGCACACGCACGGAATCGAACGGTGCTCGGGGGAATGGACGTCCGAGCGGTGGCGGGAGCAGGGCCCAGCACGGGCGAGCCCGTGAAGGAGCCAGCGGGGCCAGAGGACAGAGGCCCGAGCCCAGGCGGCGGCGACGGAGGGTGCGCGCAGGGGCCGCCCTGTTCGATGCCTCCTGCGGGTGCGTTTACGACACAGCCCCGCCCCGTTCGACTCCTCCTGCTGGTGCGCCTACGAAAAACGGCCTCGCTCGTCGGCGCGCTTCTCACGGTCATCCCGCCCAGTAAGGATTGGGCGGCCCTCCTTCCCAAGGGGCACCCCTTGGCATCCTCGCCTCCTCGGCCCATCCTTGGCCACTCTCGCTGGCCGCGCCCTGCCCGAAGAGCTTCGAAGCGGGCGCCCGAGGCCCTCTGCATCCTCCTCGCGCATCCTTCTGATGCGGGCCGGCTGTCCGGGAGCGGAGCTCCCGCTCTCGGGCCCAGGCGGCGGCGGCGGAGGCGGCGCACGGGCATCGGGGAGACAGGGGCCACGGCGAGGCGAGCGAGGCGAGCGGGCGGAGGCCGAGGCCCACCAGGGTGACGAGGCCGAGCGAGGGCAGCCGGCGGCGGCTGGGGCCAGGCACCATCAGAGACACCGACTGGGGGCCTCTCCTCCCTCCTCCTTCTCCTCCTCCTCCTCCTCCTCCTCCTCCTCCTCCTCCTCCTCCTCCTCCTCCTCCTCCTCCTCCCTCCTCCTCCTCCTCCTCCTCCTCCTCCTCCTCCTCCCTCCTCCTCCCCTCCTCCCTCCTCCTCCTCCTCCTCCTCCTCCTCCTCCTCCTCCTCCTCCTCCTCCGCCTCCTCCTCCTCCTCCTCCTCCTCCTCCCTCCCTCCTCCCTCCTCCTCCTCCTCCTCCTCCTCTCCTCCTCCTCTCCTCCTCCTCCTCCTCCTCCTCCTCCTCCTCCTCCTCCTCCTCCCTCCTCCTCCTCCTCCTCCTCCTCCTCCTCCCTCCTCCTCCTCCTCCTCCCTCCTCCTCCCTCCTCCTCCTCCTCCTCCCCTCCTCCTCTCCTCCCCTCCTCCTCCTCCTCCTCCTCCTCCTCCCTCCTCCTCCTCCTCCTCCTCCTCCTCCTCCTCCTCCTCCTCCTCCTCTCGAGGTGCAAGGCTCGAGCTGTGCTTACGTCTTCGTCTGTCCTCTCGCCTGGAGCGGCACCCCGGGGTGCCACGGGTCGCCCCTTGGGGGCCGCCAGGGAGCAGCGCCGTGACCCGAAGAGCAGACGGCAACGTGAAAGGGGGATAGGCTCAGGGGGGGACGCATCGACCCGGCCAATGGCCGATTTGTTCGCCGATGGCCCACCCCACCGAGGAGCGTGCGGATTCGCCAGCGGGGGTCCATCGCCGATTCATCGGCGATGTACCGCCGATTCCAGCTCGATGTTTCCCCCCATTTGGGGCAATTTCCCCCGGTCGTTGCAACCCCCCCCCACGAGCGGTGGACACTGGCGGCGGCTGGGGCCAAGTAGCGGGGTCGAGTGCGGTCGTGGAGGAGGCCGGACACGAAGGAAATCGGCGGCGGCGAAAGTGGGAAGCATTAGGGCCGAACGAAGGGCATCGCAAAACAAAAACAGCACAAACGTAAGTTTTCGGCGCTCCGCGCGGGCTTCTTCGATCCGCGCCTGGGTCCCCCCCCTGGCGGTGCCTCCAGCGCCGCCCCTGGCGCGCGGAGGGGAGTCCAGCGCGGATCCAAGAAATCCGCGCGGACCTCCAAAAGTGTACGTTTATACTCAGGAAGGGAAACACACACACACACACACACACACAGACACAGACACAGACACAGACAGACACAATTAATCGTCGATCCCCTGGAAAATATTGGAAAATTTGGGAAATGGGGGGCAAGACCAAAACCCAGAAAATATGTCAACTGATAGGTAATCCTGGGATTTGTGTGTATTTATGTGTGTGTCCTTGGGCCCCATTTAGTTCCTCTGGGGGCGCGGCGGACGAAGGCTAGGCACTGGGCGGGGCGGCCAAGGACAACGAGGGCGATCGAAGGAACTCGGCGACGACGGACGCCGAGCACCACGGTCGGTCGGGGCACGGCCCGGAACAGGGCCGAACAAAACCAAAACAGCGGCCATCGAAGAACAAGCAAAAAAACGCTATGAACATAATTGTTTGGCGCTCCGCGCGGAGTTCCTGGATCCGCGCTGGGCCCCCCGGCGGCGCCCCTGGCGCCGCCCCTGGCGCGCTCCGCGCGCCAGGGAGGGGGGTCCCGCGCAGATCCAAAAGATCCGCGCGGAGCGCTAAAAGTGTAGGTTTATGGCGTTTTTTTCTTTTTCTAGTTAGTAACAATCTGGTGGGACAGTTGGGGACAAGGCCTGAAAGAAGGAAGCTGGCGGCGACGGAGGGCAGCTCTCTCCATGACGATCACAGACACCTTCAGCGAAAGTCATTTAGGAATCAGTTCTCGAATAAACATTGCGTTGTTCCAAGGGCTGGGCTTCGCCCCCCCCCCTTTCTTGCTCGAAGTCGCGTTCGGCAGCCCCTGGGCGTGTCCAGACGTCGGACCCCGTTCCTGTCTTTGTTTGAGGGGCTTGCGCAGGTTCCGACACGTGTGTTTGCAGCATTCCTTGGGAAGGCCGACCGGCATTTCTGAACAGAAGAACAGGCCCAATGTTATAAACTACACAGAAGTTACGTGTGATTTTCTCGAAGAATTTCGAGTGCGCGGAATGGTCCCATTTTTGAATTAAGGTTGTCCGCGTAGTCTTTTGTTTAGTTATTGTCTCACCATGCTATTTTGGAGTGTCACCCGCATGGCCAAGTTAGAGTCAGTTGACTTGCCAGGATGGTGCCGAAGGAGATACTTGTAAGTTTCGTGGAGAGGCTTGGGGGATGCTGGCAGGAAGTGCGAAAGCTTGGCCAGGACATGGCATTCAGAGGTATTCAGAACTAGCTGTCTGAATCGTCTCCAACACTCACGCCGCCTGCACACGCGCGCCGCACATTCGGGCACACCGCGTAAGGGGCATGGCATCAAGGCTGTGGGAAAGATATAGTGTTCGATGGCCCAGTACTCGGAGCATTTCCGATATTTGTACAGGCTTCCAGCCTGTGCCGCTGATCCGGGGGCTTCCCGAGGTCAGTGTGTGGTCGTGGGTTGGCCGTTGGGCGAGGGATTGGTTGGCAGCTGCCTTGCTTCAGGGTTGGACCAGACCATAACTCAGACTCGAGCAGCCACTGCACGACACCCTGATCGGACCTGGACCCAGGACCGGGGTCCCAGTCCAGGAATCTCCCAGGCGCCCAGTCTCGGGTTTCCGGATTCTTATCAGGAGGGGAAAAAACACATAGACACAATTAATCGTCGATTCCCCCGGAAAAGATGGGAAAATATGGGAAGTGGTGGGGAAGACAGGAACCTCGAAAATATGGGAAGATATGGGGAATCCTGTTATTTGTGTGTACTTATTTGTGTGTCCCAGGGCCCCTTCATTCTTGGCATGTCCCGTGGTGACAGAATATCGTGACGGTAGCGGTGCCCCGTGGGTCTTCCTGGTCGACTCTATGTTCTGGCCGAGAGCTGCCGATCCAGGAGAGAAAAGACACTAACACAATGCATCGTCGATTCCCCAGAAGATATGGGAAAATATGGGAAGTGGGGGGGAAGACAAAAAACCCTGAAAATATTGGAAAAGATGGGGAATCGAGAGATACCGATTCAGGAGAGAGAAAAAAAAAAATACACAATTCATCCTCGAATTCCCCAGAAATTATGGAAAAATATGGAGGTGGGGGAAAAGACAGAAACCCAGAAAAGATGGGAAAAGATGGGGGACATGTTTTTATGTGTGTGCATTTATTTGTGTGTCCCAGGGCCCCTTCACCGATGTTTCATGCAGACGTCATGTTTCCACTGCGTGAGTGCGCGTGGTGCAGCGTTGCGCAAAGCGACAGGAGTTCAATGATTTGTCGCATCGGCGATGCCGCGGATGTGATTCCTCTGCATAGGCATTTCTGGATCATGGCGCTGGGCCTCTTCTTCTCCACGCTGTTCATCTTCCTGTTACTGCGCATACTGATGAAGGAGAAAGCCAAGCCGGTGGCGAGCGGAACTTGGAACCAATCCAACCACTTTGCATGTCGTGTGCCTGTCGAGCGTCAGCCTTGGGAACGTGGTTTCATTCTTGGACACAGTTTCGGGTGCTCCCGGAACTCAGGAAAAGTCTCGCCACGAGCCCCAGAAGCGCCCCTGGAGCGGCCCGAGTCTCCGAAACCTGGGCCAGGTTCCCTCAACGGTGCTTGCACTGAGGCGTGCTTGCTTTGCTCTCTCAGTTCCGCCGCCTTCCGCCAGCGGAGCCGCCCCCGCTTCATGTGTCGTTCGCATCGCTGCTCCCCAGTCGTTGCTCGGAAGTTTCGTGGCGGGCCTCAGCCTCGTACCTCTGACAGGCGCAACCTAAAAGCTCAGATCGAACGCCCGGCAGCGAGGGTGCGTGGGGAGGCGAGGTCCCCCATTGTACCCCGACCCCGCCCCGCACGCACCCCCACTCCAGCGGGGTGGCTTTGCCTCCTCCTCCGCCTCCTCCTCCTCCTCCGCCTCCGCCTCCTCCTCCTCCTCCGCCTCCTCCTCCTCCTCCTCCTCCGCCTCCTCCGCCTCCTCCTCCGCCTCCTCCACCTCCTCCTCCTCCTCCTCCTCCTCCTCCTCCTCCTCCTCCTCCTCCTCCTCCTCCTCTGGTGGGCTCACAGGCCGCACTCAGCGAACCGAAACATCAGAACGCCAGGAAAAGGGCAGCTCACGGCTAGGCCCGCGAATGAGATCCCCTGGGACCTCCAGCGGGCCCCCAAATCAAAGGCTGTCAAGCTTTCCAAGCTGGCGTGCTCCCGTGGAGCGGGTCCAGTCCACGCGAAACTGCTCTCCAGGGCATCACCCGAAAAAGTATCCTAGCGTCCTCTGTCTACTAGTTCCTCTCGGGGGCGGAAAAGAGGGGGGTGATGACAGGGGGGGTGGACTTCATGGCGGTGGCCATGATTTTTCCTCAGATTCCATGGCGTCTCTTCTTATTTCATTACGTCCCTGGCTCCCCCGCTGGGCCGCGCACATGCCGCCGGTCATGATTTGCACACACCCCTCTTGGACACCCCCCTCTTGGCCGCTCCCGATACTCTGCAGTGGAGACCCATGCCAAGAAACACCCCTCTTGCCTCCAGGGTGCCCCAAGCTTATTGGGTGCCGATGGTTTTGCGATGACAGGCGTGACGTGCCCACGCCAAAATTCAGTAGACGCCCTGGGGTCTCAGGGCTGGGTTTCTTGTGGAAGGCTTCTTGTGGTCGAGCCCCTGCTGTATGTAGGCCTCCAAATCGCTCACCTCGAGCTCGGCCTCCTGGCGCGCGTCGCCCTCTTGGGGCTGCCGGTGCCCGCGATCCCTCTCCGGGCGCCGACCGGCTCGGCCGCGCGCCTGCGCGGCGAAGATCAGGAGGGAAAATAACACACAGACACCATTAATCGCTAATTCCCAGGAAAATATACGAAAGTATGAGAAGTAGGGGGGAAGAGGAAGAGTAAACAAATATGTAAAAGTATTGGGATTCCTGGGATGTGTGTGTATTTCTTTGTGTGTCCCTGGCTCCCTTCAGATGAGGTGCTCCACCAGGCCGAGGTGCCGCAGGCGGACAGCCCCTACTACTTCTTCTTCTTCTACTACTACTACTACTACTACTACTACTACTACTACTACTACGACCTACTACGACCTACTACTACTGCTACTGCTACTGCTACTGCTACTACTACTACTACTACTACTACTACTACTACTACTACTACTACTACTACTACTACTACTACTACTACTACTACTACTACTACTACTACTACTACTACTACTACTACTACTACTACTACTACTACTACTACTACTACTACTACTACTACTACTACTACTACTACTACTACTACTACTACTACTACTACTACTACTACTACTACTACTACTACTACTAGCTACTACTACTACTACTACTACTACTACTACTACTACTACTACTACTACTACTACTACTACTACTACTACTACTACTACTACGACTACGACTCGACTAACTACTACGACTACACTACTACTACCAAAACTACTACTACTACTACTACTACTACTACTACTACTACTACTTACTACTACTACTTCTATACCACTACTACTACTACTACTACTAACACTGCTAGTACACTACTACTTACTATACTACTACTACTACTACTACTACTACTAACGACTACTACTACTACTACTAGTACTACGAACTACTACTATACTTTACTACTACTACTACTACTACACTACTACTACTACTACTATCACTACTACTACTACTCTACTAACTACTACTGATACTGCTACTGCTACTGCTCTTCTACATACTTCTACGAAACTACTAACTAGTACTAGTAGTACTAGTATACTACTAACTACTACTACTACTACTACTACTACTACTATACTACTACTACTACTACTGCTATACCACTAACTACTGGCTACTACTACTACTACTAACTACTACTACTACTACTGCTACTACTACTAATGCTACTACGACCACTACAACTACTACTACTACTACTACTGCTTCTGCTACTGCTACTATTACTACTACTACTACTACTACTACTGCTACTACTACTACTACCACTACTACGACCACTAGTACTACTACCACTACTACTAGGATTACAGTTGTTGCTACTGCATTATCACTACGGCTACGACTACATCGATCACGACTACGATTGTTATTGCTACTACTACTACTACCATTGTTACTACTACGACTACTACTACTACTACTACTACTACTACGACTACGACTACTACTACTACTACTAGTACTACTACTACTACTACTTCTACTACTACTACTACTACTACGACTACTACTACTACTACTACTACTACTACGACTACTAGTACCACTATTGCTACTACTACTACTTCTACTACTACTACTACTACTACGACCTACTACTACTACGACGATTACTATTACTACTACTACTACTACTACGACTACTACTACTATTTTTTATTTGCTCACAACTACTGCTACTACCCCTGCTACTCCCACCATTACTACGACTACGCCTACTACCACTACTTTTTCTACTACGACTATTCTTCCTAGTTCCTAGCACTAGTACTATTTGTACTAATACGACTACTACAACTACTACTTCCTTTACTACCACTACGACCACTAATGCTACTACTACTACTACTCCTACTACTACTACTACTACTACTACTACGACGACTACTACTACTACTACTGCTACTAGTACTACGACTACTACTACTACTACTACTACTACTACTATGCGAACTACGACCACGGTTATGTTGTTTACTACTACTGCTACTACAATTACTACTGCTACGACTACTTTTATGACAACCACATCTGCGACTCGTTTTTATTACCTGTGCTGCAACTACCACTACTACTACTACTACTACCACTACTACTACTACTACTGCTACTACGATAACTTATACTATTATTTTTATCATTACTATTAGTTCTTTACTTCGAATGCTACTACTTTTGCGGCTACTAGTAATATTACTACTACTACTTGCACTACGATTACTACGACTACGACTACTACTGTTACTACGGTTGACATTCGCTATTACTATTACTACGACTACTAGTACTACTACTACTACTACTACGACTACTACTACCACTACTACTACTACTACGACTACTACTACGACTACTACTATTATTGCTACTAATACGATTATTATATCGTCTACATCTACTACATCTACTACTACTAC